AATGGCAGAATCAGAATCGGCGAATGGATAATGTTCGGCACGTGAACAAATAGAACAGAAACGTGTGCTGAACAAAAACGAAAGAAATGACCTTTTTCCAAAAAAATAAAAGGAAAAGAAAGGGGAAAAAAAATTAGTTTACAAATGCGAAATAAAACTAACAAGGTGTTGATTTGAAAAAAAAAAATTAAATTTTTTTAAATTAATCAAAATTCAATATATTCACTAGATATTAAGAAATTAATACAAAAAAAATGTGAAATAAAAACATTTAGGGCATGTTTGGAGGTCTGATTATAATTATACAATAATATATTAATGTCATTAACAAGCATTTGATCTAATTTATATTTATTAATTTAAAGTTTTAATTTGAAATTAAAATTAAAAGTTTAAGTAGTTATAATATTAAATAATTAATCTTTTAGCACCTGGTCTTTCGGACCAACTGACAACTTATTAGCTTGAGGTGCATTCCCCCTCATCTATGGACGGAATTCAAGCCCGCCCCTTGACAACTTGTTCAAAAAAAATCTTTTAATATAAAAAAAAGTTAAATACATTAAAGTTATATAATTTAATTGATATTTTATCAATTTATAACTTATTTTCTTAAATAATTGATATTGATTTATAAAATCATTTATTTATAAATTAATTTTAATTAATTTTTTAAATAATAAATATTAATTATTTTACCAACTATTAACTGTTCTTAATTATTAAATTAAACAGAGTCATTATTTTAGATAAAATTGACAAATTTATATGGTTCTAATATATTATATATTATCTGACCATAACCGGAGCCTACCGTTTAATTGGGAGGTAACTTTCTTTCTCTAATTGGATGCTTTAAAGTTATTTTGATATTTTCATACTTTAATATTACAAAAAATGATAAATTTGACATTTTGTCTTAATTTTCCTCACACGATTCTAGTTAAATAAATTTTTCTTGCCTTATTTTTTTGTTAAAGTAAAGTGCTTTTCAGTGTTTTAATCTAAGACTCACTTGACATTTTCTTGTTTATTATTATTATTATTATTAAATTCTTAATAAACATGAAAAATGAATAATCTCAACAGAATATTATTACAAAATTTATTAATATTTTGTACAATACTTTCTAACTTCACATATTCCAATATTTTTCAAATCAGTTTTTAGTAAAAACTCTAATTAAAAACTTTGTCAATAAATTTGACTTTACATCAAACTGATTTAAAGAGCAAACTATTTATTTTCTTAAAAAAAGTGGAAAATAAGAAATAAGAAAAACAGTATGGCAAATGGAAAGACTTAAGATTGATGCAAATGACACGAAAATCCAAATTCATTGCACATATATTAATATATAGTCAAGCAAGTATGCTGTTTTTTTTTTTCCTTGGTTTTCTTCTAAATTAGTCTAGTGCTTATCCTTTTTGGACCAACTCAAAAGTTTAAAATTCCCTTTTGAACAAAAGATGATAATTTAATTAGTTGAAAGAGATTATTTAAAGAATAATTATTGGTACACATTCAATTTAATACTTTACAATATAATTTATTAAGAAATTATTGTTTTCAAATTTGAGTTTAATGGTAGAAAAAATTTTCGCTACAAAATTTAATGATTGAATTGATAGGGTATTAGTAGATATATTAAACCGGAGGGTGTATCAATTATTTTTCTTATTCAAATTCTATTTCTTTTCTTTTTTTTCCTATTTCAGCTTTTCCTTTCACTCATTTATAATTATAACAATTTATATAGTCTGCTTCCATAATAAAATGGTTTGAACCTAAAAGTTTTTATGAACTTATCCAATTATATCATCCATTGATAAATTCTCACTTTGTCTCAGAACATTATTTCACTCATTATGCATACTGTTAAAAATGAATTATTATTATTATTATTATAAAAGTTTTTTCAAGTTGACCTACATAAAAAAAAAATACAAAAATACTTTTGAAAATTTTTAAGCTCAATGAATCCTCTTTTTACATCGATTTATTAGCAATATTTAATTAATTTTATAAACATTTCTTACTTTTTTTTTTTACAAGTTTACTTAAAAATTCACCATCCCTATTATTATTATATTGTATTCAAATAGAATTATGAGACTTTATTTCTCTCTCCATTTCATGGTATGTCTTTTTTCTTTTTTTTTTTAAAAAAAATTTCATACTAATTTTTTTTAATTTTTAAAATGTATTAAAATTTTCTTTTTAATTTTAATCCTTAACTCCTTGTTTTGTGCATTTATCTTTCCATTCCTCTTTTTTTTTTTTGGTTATATAAATAAGAAAAATTCTCCTCTTCCCTCTCCTCTCCCTTCAAACCAAATAAATTATGACGATCATATTTAATAATCAATTAAGTAGTGTTCTCAAGAGGTATTCCAAGTAATTGAGAGTTTGAGATTTCAATTTAGAAATATAGAGTTTGAAACCTTGAAACAAATAAAAGGGATTAAGGGGATGACTATTTTATATTGTATAGTCTATTATTTGAGATATACAAAAAAATCCATTAAGTATTTGACAAAAAAAGAAAAAATACTAGGCATCAACATAGTTTCCTTATTACTCTTTCTATTCCTAAATAACTGTTGTTTTTTGCGTTTGAGTTTATCTCAAACTAATTGTCTATTTTTTATTTTTTAGGTAGATAAATATTTTTTTTATTTAATCTTATCATTATCTATTTATTTTAAATAATTATCCTATCATAAAAATTATATCTTTATCTTTTATGTAAATTTTTTTTAAAAAATATAAATAAATACATAAATTCCCCTTAAAATTTTAATTTAAAAAAACAACAATTATTTTATAACAGGAATAATTCTTCTCTCGGCTAAGGTTAATGGTAGAATTGAAGAGGTCGTAAATTATGGTCTGTGTGTATAATAAAAATGACATATTATGGGACTGGGATAAATGGAATAAGATTATTGTGTGTGGATTACGTACTGTTTTTAACGAGTAATGGTAAAGAGGACAAAAATTTTAAATGAAAATTTAGGATTAATAATATGGCATAAGGTACATTATTAAATTAGTTAATATATATAATATTATCAATTTTAAAAAATAAAAATAATTAATAATTAAATATTATATGAATTACCTTTTAATATTTTAAATAATATTACTTATATTATAAATTTTAGTCTCAAATTTTGATCCAATTTACCATTATTCATTTTTAATCCCTAAAACCACCTTAAAACCAAAATACTCCAACAGTCAAGAGTCAAAAAGTGACACCCAACATCTCCTAACCAACTTCAATATTAAAATAAAATAAAATATACTTAAAGAGTTATAGCTTAATTGGTAAGAGGTTTCTCTTTCTACTTTATTGATCAAATTTTGAATCTCAGGTTACTAAAAAGATAATTTTTTATAAATTTTTTAATTTCAATATAAATAATTTATTTTTAATTGAATTAAGAAAAAATTAATTTTAAAATATGTATAAATTAATTTAAAAATACTTTAATTACTAATAATTAAATAAATAAAATATAAAACTTCAGTAAGTATGAACAAACATGGAGCATTCAACACAAATTCTATTAATTCAATCTTTTTATTGAACAAGTAAGTAACTAATGTTATTATCTCACTTTTAATCATTAATATTATATATATTTTTATTTAAATTAATTATTATATTTTTTTAATTTACTAAAAATAAAAAATTTTAAAAAATATAATATAAAAATATAATAAATAATTATATTAAAATAATATAACATTAAGTGGTATTATAGGAATAATTTTTTTATTTTATTTTTTTATACAGCTTTTACATATTATTAAATGAGTAGATGCATTCACTATCACCAATTTCACATTAATTAAAAAAATTAATTATTTTAATAACACATTAAATTATATAAAAAAATAAAATAACTATCCCAATAACATTTTCTTATAACATTAACTATTTATTTATTTAG